TTGCACTGCATGTTGAATTCTGAATTCTGCCAATATAAAACGAAAATAACCTACATCAAAAACCTCCACTCATCTTATGAATTTAGAAGATACAATTTAACTTTTCTCCCCTGCAGTAAACACTAAGTTTTCTGTGTTTTTTTTAAACCAGCAAGTCACTGTACAGATACTTATTCTCTACACCACTTCCCTTTTGAAACATTAAACTGACACTGGAACTGACTGCACAAGATTGCATTTTCTCTTCCTAAACAACTTGAATTGAAAGGTTACTTAGTGTAACAATATTTACTTGCAGAATTGTGTTGTTACCAAGGGTATAATGGATGGTGGCTATGCAGGTTTACGCAAGAATGAGTGAAGCATGAGGCATTAGCCATGTGTTTGACATGTTTCAAATTGCTATAATCCAGCATTAAACACACCCAGCAATTCATGCCATTTCTTGCAGCCATAATCTTGAATAAAGCGTGCACAACCACTTATTATATAAATTAGTATATGACTCCCTTTTATAGTCACAACAGTGCTTTTGTGTTTATTTTGCATCAAGATGTGGTCTTTTATTTGTATAAATAGCAGGATATAAAAACAGAGCTCAATTAGGCCTCCTTACTTTATGATAGGGTAATATTGAATGCTAGGCTTGTTTGTTTTATTTTTCCCTACGAAGAATAGGTATTCTTGGTGTAAAACTGAAGAGAGGGAAATATTCACTTCCTTTTGTGACTTCTGCAGTGGTTTTACATTTTTGCAGATCTGCGCGGTCTGTGGTAGTCGGGTGTGGTTCCAACTTTTGAACAAGAATACAAACACTATGTGAGATACCTGAACCACCACCAGGGGTCCTTCTTTATTAGAGAAGTTATGTCTGTTATTATATGTGCTGCTCTTTTATATGGGGGATTTTTTTTGTATTTTTGGCCTGTGGTCCTCAGGTTAGTCATTCATACCTGCTGTAAGGTATTTTTACAATACACTATAACATAAAAGTAGTTCAATTTTTCTTTTCCCTGTAAAGGACACCAAGTTCACTGAATTAGGCAGAGGAAACTTCCATATATGACCATATCGCATAATAATACATGGAGACACTTTAAACACAGAAATTAATTATGGTTATCACAATTGGTCCACAGTTTTAGAAAGCAAACTTTCTCCTTCCCAAGTGTGAAATAGGGTGAAATTGTGACAAATGTTAAATTTTTAACTCAGAAAAAATGCTTTAAAATCCAAACATTTTGAACTAGAGTGTTTGTCACATATATAATGCAATCAACACCAACCTTTCTTTAAAAGTAGTGCTAATGACAACATAATCTAGTACAAGAATTTCTACATAATGTATATACACATGTACGTATATCACTAACATATAACACTAGGTGAAATTCTCTAAAGTAATCTCGTAGTCATGTTAGTTTGGTTTATAATATCTTTGATAGAATTCTTCATTTTTAAATTTGATTATGATATAAAAATGAGTGCAGAAAGTTGGGTTTAAATAATGGTAACTTTGTGCTCTACTGGAATTAATTCATCATTGACACCAAGCACAATGCATTTGAAAGCTAGTGCTAGTATGCTAAAAGTCTTTAATACTTAAGATTGCCTAATAAATCAAAATGCCAAATATGAAGGACATAGCTGAATGTGTAAGAACAAAAACTGTAAAGGCACATTTGGTGTATTTAAATATTTTATTGTTATTTTAACTAAAACATGTTGTGTCTCAAGATATGATAAAAGTGTAAGTATAAACTATTTCAGTTTTTTAATACT